AGGGAACAGAACAGCAAATTGTCACTTGGGAAAGGGTAGTCGGGCCGTAAATTGTTATTTACTTGTGTGTGAGAGAGAAGTGACTCAGCTTACTGGGAAACAGAGGGTAATAAATATATAATTATCAAATAATCCAAGTGTTTGGATACAAAGTGGGTGAAAGCTAATCCTTAAAAAACAGAGATGCAAGATGAAGAAATTCACTTGAGGTGTTGGCTGGTGCTGATGCAGCACTGATTTGGGGCAATTACTGTTTCTTTTAAAAGAGCTTTGCCCCAACTATGTGACAGTTTTAAGATGCTGTGGCCAAAGTTGAGCTGACCCCAGCAACGCTTGGAAGCCAGCACATGGTTTGGTCAGATGTGCAGCCCCTCACCAGTCACCTCGTCCCTGCATATGGCTGAGGATTTTGCAGAATCAGTTTTCTGACCACTCCTTCTCCTTCTGTACTTATTCCACACCTGTTTTCCTGTCCTTAGAGTAGATAATGTTTAAAGGCTTAAGATAGTCAGGGCAAAATCACCTCTTAGTTTAAATCTCCCTGAAATTCCTTGGTGGTGTGAGGCCAGGCTTTCTCAGGGATGTTTTTCCCCTTGTTCCCCGGGAGCCCAGGCAATGCTCAGCTCTGGCAGGACAAGGCACATCCCTCTCCCTGGGCACTGCTCCAGCTCCCCGGGCTGCTCTGACTTGTCCCAAGCAGTTGTTTTTCCATCATGACTGGGCCAAGAGGCTGGATGGAGGATGATGACTTAAGCTCAGCTTTCCCTCCACTCCTCAGCTATGAGGAGCAATAGAATATTTTTTTAATTTCAGTGATTTAAGGGAATCTTGGTCAGATGTCCTGGTTTTGTTAAAAGAAGCTGGTACGTACAGGGAGTTAATTTTTCCGCGTTTCAGAAGAAACTGCTCTGAGGCAAACAAAAATTCTTTCAAAGTTTCTCAGAATCCAACAACGAGCTCTGAATGTAAAGTGGGCTCACTTATTTTATTGTCTGAGCTGAAGTGTGTAGAAAAACAGTCAATAAGAATAAAAATTGATCATGTTAAAAATGCTTCAGTTTTAACACTGTAGAAGGCAGCTAAGAATTTAGGCGGGAAAAAAGCTTTCCTAACTGACACCAGGTACAGGAAAACTGCAATACAGGGAAAACCAATCCAAGGTGCACATTTATCTAGTTCTACCTCTTCTTCCCTTCCCACCACAATTCCCATATTAGTGCTCTCTTCCTTCCCACCATGACTCCCATTCCCAGCGCACTCCCGCAGTCACACCTAGCAAACCTGTTCTGCTCCACATTCTGGTCCTTGCTATCAAAAGGGGCAAGTTCCCACAGCTACTGAAGGTGCAGACCAACTGTGACAGAAACCAGTGCGGGGAGGTGTTTCTGACTGGTAGTACTGGGTGCTGGGCATGGTACGCTGCTGCACAGGCTGGAAGTGTGGTGACTTTTATGTCACTGGGGAGACGATCATATATATATATGTATTAGAATGAAAATTTCCTATAATATCTAGAAATCTGATTTCTTGCTCAATAAAGTTTCTCACCATCTGCATCCCTGTATGGTTAAAAGCTCACCAGGGCCCTCTCCCTACACCATCACTGCTGTCAGCCAAAGGCAACGAGTGCTCTGTACAGAGGAATTAGGTTACCAGGTAAAAGGGGCTGCAAAGCACTTCAAGTCAGTTTTGCCACTAGATCTCCATCGCCCTGACTTACAGGGGATTTCAGACATTAACAAGAAAAGCCGATTATACTCAAGGCAGGCCGGCAGAGCAGCCGTTCTCCTCACAGCTCTCATCTGCTGCTTCAGCTCAGTTACTGCTTCTCTGGGGGATTGATCCCGGTAAATGGACACAAGCTTGTTAACTGTAATTTTTGTTGATCCTTCAGCTGCCTAATAATGAAGAATTTTGTGCTTTATTTTTCTTTGTCCCTTTTTAAAACATGGTTAGACCTGCACATAAAAGGCTGAGACACAGAGCAGTCCATGGTATATCCACCAGGACCAGCTCTGATCCACTGTTGCAGCCAACAGCTGCTCACTTTCCCATGCAAGGATCCTAACACAGATTCTGCAAATGAAACAGAAACTTGGCTCCTCTCAAACCAGCATTTGGCTTCCAAAGCCAAGATGTTATTATATCTGGGGCAATGTTCTCTTGTGTTTGTGCTGTGCAGAAAAGGGGCTTCCCCCAAGCAAGATAAATTGCAATAACCCATCAGAACTCCAACCTCTCTATAAAGAACTAGAGCTATTATACTATAACAATTTATATATAGTAAATAAATAAATAAACTTCTACTATAATGACAGAAATAGCTATTAGGGTTATGCTGTGCTATAACAGGATAGTTTTACTATAATAGTATGTTGTAAAACTGTATTATGTATTATACTAGTTCTTTCTGGTAACTCACAGTTTTAACTGGGAAGTTGTTGTACTTTAACAGCTAAAATTCTATCTGTAGAAATTAGATTAGAGCTCTGTAGTAACTCTGTAGCCAGAACTGGAGGTGAGTCTCTGGGAGCAGACTGCTGACACATGCAGAGAGGTGCCTCAGTGCGCCCTCTCCGTGGGTCACATGACTCAGTGCACCTGCAGACACAATGTCTGCAATCTGCCAAAAGCCTTTCCGAGGAAAACCGCAGATTGCCTATAAGGACCCGCATGGATGAGAAGTGGGTGGATCTGGAACATCCTTAACCCCAGCCTCTCCTAGAAATGCTCTCTGATGCAGAGCCTCTCTCAAAGTCTGGGTGCCTCGTATTTGTCAGTGCCCTCTCAATGTCTAATTAATTCAATCGATTAAAAGTTGTTAACAAATATTGAGAAGATTCTATATTCAGTTAGACAAATGCATGCACTTACCAAAACCCCTTTGTTTTGCTGAGAATCCGAGTCCCAGGATCTTCCACAACGGGTCTTCTGGCTTACAAGGACGAAGACAGAGGCACATCTGTTCGTCACAGGAAGGGCAGGGTCAGAGCCTGCTTATCTAAAGGGTCTGAAAGTCTGAAAGTTGGAGATAACCATTCTGCCTGAAAAAAACTGCCCTTGCTTAAGGGTTACGTAATGCATATGGTCCTGGTGACATTCTGTAATGAGCACAAATTAAATCTTCTACATATGACAGCTGATCTGACAAAATAGGAAAAGAAAATTTTTTATTTCAATTGAGTCCCTACTGATGCAGTAAAAGATTGAAGCTGACAAAGTTGAGTCTCAAAGAAAATAACTTTAAAATCCGCCATCCACAGGAGACTCAATAGTAGCATATATCTGTAAAAGGATTTGAGAAATTTGGGATATCAATGGAAGTGTGGTAAGCTATTATCAGGGTCAGCATATTGTCCAGTGCTATGCCCAGATGACTCTATAATAAAAGGATGCAGTGGCAGGTATCTAGTTTGTCTCACATACACAAACAAGATCAGGTTGGTTTAACATCTCTCGAAGGATTATTAGAATACTCAATTCAACAAACTCTCTTGGCTCTGAAGAAGAAGCTGGTTGTTGGATGATGCAGTGATTTTTCTTTGGGAGGCATCCCAGAACAAACTGCTCTGAAAGATAACAAAATGTTCAACGTATGGAGACAAAAAATTTCCCAACCTGCTGAAGATATCAAGCTTGATGAATACTTCAGCTCTTACTATTTGTGTACCAGCTTTAGAACGTCTCGAAAACTTTGACTGGATTCCACTTCACCCAAGAATGTTCTCTTCTCTTCTCTAATCCCACTTTTGGAGTTGGGTTTGCAAACATCTCTTCTTTAGATCACAAGGGTATTTAAAAGCACCTGCCCAACATTTGTGCTACAGTATCAGGAGGCTGCAATCAGTGGTAAAGTAAAAGAATCTAAAATTTGCCAACATAACAAGCTAATAGTATCATGCAGTAGTATTGTTGTTAAGTAGGATTTATTTGGGGGACTTTTAAGGAATCTTTACCATAAGAACTGGGCTCTTGCTACTGAAGCGAAACTTTAGGTTGTATTGGAAGAATGTGCTTCTTTGCAGTGCTTTGAAATGCTACTTTTTTTGAAACAAGGGCTTTGCTAGGATAGTTACATTCCACTCTAATTAAATTGGCTTTTTAATAATTGATTAGACTAAGGGAAAAAATTTAATGGAATCACAGAATAGCCAAGGCTGGAAGAGGCCCCTGGAGATGATGCAGGCCCACTCCTGCCCGACAGGCTCAGGCAGAACAGGTTTCCCAGGACTTTGTTAAGTCAGGTTTTGAATATCTCCAAGGCTAGAGGCTCCACAACCTCATAACTCTATTTAATGTTTTCTAGGGACTTTTACTTCACTCACATTGTGCATTCTATGAATTTCAGCTGATCCCCCAGTGAGTTAAATAGTAGTTTTTAGTCAACTAAAACGCTCAGTATAGGAGAAGTTAGACCTTGATTTTCCATTAAAAGTCAACTTCAAATACATTACAAAGGATCTAAAATGAGTATTCTGTTCTACAGGAATGCACAATAGCTTTTGGAGCCATAAGAAATGACTCAATTACTCTGTATTGTTAGTATTATTGTCCCTTTTTGGAGAATTTTCAAAGCAGCATCATATTTTGTGGAGAAGCAGCCAGAAGTTTGCCTGACTTTGCTTTTAAGCTAGGAAGACAAGACACTTGTCTTGTGTGTGTAATCTGTCTCAAATGTTTCTTTGAGAATGCAAGTAGATATTGCTGTAAACAGATCCTGGGTTGGTTAACAATTATGTCGCAGCCTGAAAAGGTAAAGTTAGGTCAGAAGGACAAACAAACACCAGGACTTCCTACAGCATAAGGAGTATGAGCAACCCCCACTGAGTCTGTTTTTAGACTTGATATAAAGCCAAGGCGCTTGGGAATTAGAAGCCAAAGAGCACTTTCTGTCTGTACTACAGAGGATTTAAAAAAACCACATCAGAATCCTGATTTCCCATGATTTGTGTGTGCAAATAACAAACAGCACACTACCCCACAATGATGTAGACAAGCAGTTAGGAGCTCACTTATTTTATTACACAGCTGAGAATATAAGACCACTCAAACTTATACACTACAAAGGTATTAAACCCCCCCCCCCAACAAATCAAGCTTTAACCTAAAGCTGCAGAATTTAATTACAAGGCAACATGAAAACAAATGTTGCTTGCTTTCCAAGGCACAATGGTATAAACATTAAAACTGCAAATGTGATATATTTAGTACAAAAATATAAATCTATAAACTAAACATGTAATCTAAATAACAAAACAGCACATTTCTTCCCATGTATAAACCTTAATTTAAAAAATTCACCTTTACTCTCAGTCATGAAATGTAATACAATAACAATAAAAACTATTCTTTTAGTGACACCTACTATGTCCCTATTATTAAATAAGAGTACTCAGAATATTATAAATTTTGCTGCATTATGCAAGAGAAGTTTGGCTGCTTTTTTTTTTCCTTATAAAACTGTTCCTCACAGACCTGACTCTGCAAAGTCTGATTTTATCCAGAATTTGAAATCCTCCTTGAAAGACTGAGTCCTTGCTTTATTACGTTAATAACTTTGACATTAAATTATTACTTTGTTAAATAATCTTCCTCAATTATAAATAGTGTTAAATTCTTGGAAAAGCATTCCTCCTTTAAACCTTGTATCTGAAAAACTTCCAATGCAAAGTGAATTAAAACATTGTTTTATTGCTAACAAATACAAAGAACTGTTCAAACCGCAAAGAACACAGAATTGTGCCAACTTGACTTTTTAATGAGCCAACAGTGAACTTATAAAGAAAAAAACAATCTATTTTCAGCTCAGCCTTTCTCAAGCAAAAGAAAATATGAAAGTAATGAGGGTCATAGAGATTTCAGATCAGTTCAGTAAAAAGAATCTCAGCAGTGATTCATAAAGCTGATTCCTTGGCTGACTGAATGTGATGTAGTAGTTGATTACAGTAGAGCGGCGTTTGATGCTTATGTACAACCCCTTCGATTTCTCTCACAAGCAGATCTGGATATAAAACGCTTCCTTCCTTTAAAACTTCTGTAAAACAAAAATATGTTTTATAAATCATTAGCTGCTCTGTGTTTCTCTATCCAAGTTCTCTCAAAAGTTGCTGAAACCGAATGTGGAAACTGTTGTTCTACGAGTGGCACAGTGATGACATCCCTGTTCCTCTCTCCCCCATTTGCTGAGGTCTGTATTTTGACATTTATGTTCTCGAACACACTAATAAATTCCAGAGAGCCCATCAAGGGGGCTGGGATATGGTCACATCCTGCAACGGTGGCGCTCTACGCTCCATATCCTGTTTACCATCTGTAAAGTCTCTGGTAGTTCAGCTGCCCTGATATTTCTCCCCTGGTGAACACTGGACAAAACATTACATTCTGCACCCAGGTAAAAGGTCAGATCTCATACCCACTGAAATTCAGAGGAAAGCTCCAGCCTGTCACTTAAAAAGCGTTGTTCAAAATACATATGACTGAAAGTCTTACCTAGGACTGCGTTTTGGAGATTTTGATCGGGGTCATCGAGATGTATCAACAGTTCTTGGTACAGAAACTCAATATGACCTTCCATTGCGGATTTCACATCACTGTCCTTTAAGCACTTAAACCAATTAGCCAAGGTGTGAGCAGCTGCCAGTCGTACATCGCACGAAGCATCATCCAGACGCTTTAAAACCTCTGAAAAGGAGCATATAAATAACCAGACAGCTCTCTGAGCAGGGGAGTTAGCTTTGCATTTGAAAAAAAACATCTTCTGTCACCACTGAAATTATTGTTGCATTTATGACGTATTTCTGTCTTTTGAACATTATGGATGCAAGTATGACATTGTTCTTAAAAGCACATGGTGCATTGTTATTGGATTGTTATGTTGCCAAAAACATTAATAAACATGTTCTAGCTCTCCTAACAAGGTACTATGAAAGTCTATTCATGCATTACACAACTACAGAGTTTAAGTATTTCTATGCTCTATAAAGCACAGTATTTCTATCAAATGTTACTGTTTCAGTGAATGACTGCACTGAAGACTAGTTGAACATGCAAGGTGCAAAGGTATACTTTGACAATTGTCTGATCATGTATTTCTCCAAAATAAAAATGTTTGTTGTTAGATTTCTACTGTGCCATGTAAGAAGGGGTATGAGTCATTAAGATGCTGAGTTTGGGAAAGTCCAAGTTATTTGTATACATAAGAACATAAATTCTGGTACGTATCTGTGCATAGTCTGTACTTCTGATTCATGGTTTAGCATTTAAACTTCATCCTAAGAAGCATTACAGACCCTGGGTCTATTTTACAATACAGCATTCTAGATTAGGGTTTTCTTCTTTGGTTTTTTGGTTGTCTTTTTTTTTTTTTTTTTTTTTTTTTTTTTTTTTAGATAGAACCCCAACCCACTACCTATTCAAGTCTATTTATGGTACACTGAAACAGTTTGCTCTTGGCCCTCAAACACAGCACAGAGAACAATGTGACTTCCATTTATATACTGCAGCACTGTTCTGCTCTCACTATACTTAGCACATTATTTCACAGAGACCAAACTCTGAAGCAATGCAGATGAGGTACTGGCAAGCCCGGCACAGACCGAAATATTGAGTGAAGTTCCACCTAGTGGCCTTAATGGATAACGACGTCGGGAATACTGCTCAGTTCGGCCAAACTTGGGAGTGAGGACGTTTCCAAAGGACATGAACTTGTCTGTAACACCCTTCAGTGAAACGAAAACCTGCCACTAAAAACCTGCTCCAGAGAAGCCTTGCAAGTGCTGTTGGAGTCACACTCAGCAACGCCTGCTGAGTGTTTCATACCTGGAGTTTCTAAAATGTGTCCATGTACTTTATACATTTTATGCACCCTCTCTCAGCAGTTTAAACCACGCCTCAGTCTCTGCAGTATTAAGAAATTAAAATGCCTCTCATACACAAAAATGCTGCTAATGGTATGATTCTGTGCAGTGCTTTTCCCATTTCCTTAGTATCTATACAATTACTCTCCGAGGGAGAACTACCCAAATAGTTAAAATACCCACTAAGAGAACACAGAAATAGCATTAGAATATGCCTATGGGAGTGAGATAAGAAAGGGTGAGAAACGAGTCTACATAAAATCTGCCCCTATTAGTACCTCAAATTGTTTAAAGACTTTTTGCTCTTCATGTGGGATTAAAGCCAGATAACACAGTGACATGCAACAATATTTGTCATTTCCTAGTCTGTGTTAATGCTTTCAGTGCTGCAGTGAGTCTGCAGGTGATGTGGACAACCTGCACAGTAAATCCTAAAGCCATGCAGCAAATCTGCCAACTGCTCCAGCAGGATGCTTTTCACCTTCAAAAGCTGAGCTGACTGTGATGCTTCGCATAAAAAAAGCAAATGTAAGTTTTCAACGTGGAAATCTTGATTTTAAAAAACCAAAAAACAAAACAACCACCACCACCACTAGTCAAGTAAACATTTACACTTACCTGTGTAAGTGTTCTTAAATTTATCTTCATCAAACTGCCTCCCACAGGCTTTTAAAAAAGCATCAACAATACGACAAGCCATCAGTCGAGTAATTTTAGAGTCTTCATCCATGGAAGCAATGATTTGGGGCATTAGCTCATCTTTGACTTTTAAGATCTAAAATTAATAGGAAAAACATAGAAGAATAAGAGCTTTTCAGTCACTGTAATACAATATTCTTAGTGGTTAGAGCAGTTACCATTAACTCTGACAGATACTGGGTTGCTTAGTTTAAAAAGTTAAATATAAAAGTGAAAATCTCAGAAGTTACACAGCTCTATTTTTGCCTCTAAGCTTGCTTGGAAAATGAAAATCCACCAGTCCATCATCCAGCTCATGGATGCTCAGTACACATGCAGATGAGTTTTATGTAACTTGTAAAAGCTTTCAAACTTATTCGCCTGTAAAAACAACAACAACAACAAAACAAAACAAAACAACAACAACAACAACAACAAAACACCACAAAAAAACCCAAACTGTTGCCAGGGTTTAAGAAACCGGAGCTGAGGATGACGCGCCCATACCAGGAGATGGCGCTCCGGCTCTGACAGGGAGCGATGGGATGGGATGGGATGTATTGGGGAAGGGTCGGAATTTCACTTTATTATGAACATTTCGTATCCATTAATGAAAAAATAGCCATTAAGGCATCGATTCAGAAAAAAAAATGTTAAACTGGAATAGTAATCTTGATACCAATGTTTTTGTATGTGTGAACTCAACTAGTTATGTGTTTTTAAGCACCTTTTTCTGATATAAAGGCAATAAAGACTATGAACATTTCATAACATTTTAATTCAATTTACTTTTCAGAAATGCCCTTATATTTAAAATATTTGCAGTGCATTATCTCCACGTGCCATTTTTTTTTGGCAAAGATGCTTCAGAAACCCCCTCAGATTCAATTAATCCTTTATCACTGGTGGGTAACATCTCTCTAAGTGTAGCCCTTGCTAGGTCTCCACTTCAGTTTCTACAGATATTCTTCATTTCCATCTCAACTCCTCCTGCCCTTTCCAGGAGTCTTTTAGATTTTATTTTTTTTTTTCCCCTAAACAGACCTGCGGGCTCCAAGGTAACCAAACAACTTGTCTTTTCCACATGACACAGCAGCACGTCCTGACTTGTTCCAGTGCTGCTGCACAGGCACAGGCTACGGGTTCAATCATATCAAGTGCCCAAACTGTTGTGTTAATAGTGGGCAGTAGTTTGTGCTACAGAACCGATGTTATACTAGAAAAAGTATCTACAAAAATGTGATGCTGGACAGTTCTACAGCTCAGCATATTGCTGGCCTCAGGTCTCCTACCAGGACATAATCATCCCTTCACGGATTGTTTCAGTCATTAATATTCGATTATAATTAATGAATTTTATTATGAAAACCGTCCATCCATCTGAAAATATTACTTACCCTGAGGATTTATTATTTTTTTTCCCTCCCTTGCATTTATTTTGTTTTCCTGCCTAAGATTTCAAAGGACGAGAAAGAGAGAATTTACCTCTTCTGGTGAAAGCATTTCACAGTGGATGAGAGCCCAAAGGCACAATACAGCTGTAGCACGGATGGCAGCTGCTGTTCTTCCAGCATGCCACTGCAGATTAGGAGCCAGGATGTCTTTTATCACAGTCTCAAGGTAGCTAGGGAACAGCCTGAAGCCAAAAATAAGAAAGCAAAATAAAGGTTCATGAGAAAGTGATAAAGAGACTGACAGGATGTAGAAGAGAATGTTCTGTCATAGAAATATAGACAGAAAGGGGGAAAAAAAGAAGACTCTAAAAAAAATAAATAAAATCATATAAGCCAATGTGATTGTAATGTATGTGATAAGATTTTCATAACTTAATTTTTCTGGGTAATATTTAAACAAATACCTAACATTCATGGAAGGGGGAGGCTAGACTTTCTCCCACTTCAGACGATGCCCATGACTCCCTGTTATCTTGGTAAACTACTTACCTTCTCTCTGTCTCACTTGATCTGTCTGTGAAGTGGAGATAACACACCCCGTGTGAGTGCTGTGAGGATTCATTAATATCTGTGAGGCCCTTTGAGACTGTCCAGTGAAAAGTATTTATAATGTCAAAAGAATGACTGCTATTGATGATACCTGAACTCCTGATACTGCAGGGAGCCTACAAAGAATACTTAACTCTCCCTTGGCTCAGAAACTCATCTCCCTCAAGGATGAGAGGTCTGTAGGATTTTCTGATGGTGGCCAGTCCCAATACTAGTTCGTTTTTATCACAAACACAAACTTGTGATGTTTTTGCCGATGCTTCTTCCTCCTCTTCTATTAAATGACTATTATGCTAAAAGTTGCTGTAAGAGTCAGTAATTGTAATAGGCAGGGTTCCCTCATACCCATTTAATTCCAGCTCAAACAATTTTAAACTAAGAGAGAGAGAGAGAGAGAGAGATAGGTCTTAGGCACAAGTTAATTAATACTTTGCTGCATCAAAGAGACATTAGTGCCTCGCTATGGCCAGTAACTCAAGCTCAGGTTATTCACAGCCCTACAAATCAGCTGGCAGCATGCAAACAGATTGTCAAGTGAGAGACTAAATCTACCCTGATTCCTGCCCACTCTGTTCAAACTTCTGCTCAAACTGTGACCACCTGAGTGCCAAACAGCACATCACCACCCTGGTGCTTGCCAGAAAGGGAAGAAGCTCTTGCTGGCTTTTCTATGAGTCCTGCATTTATAGGATGAATAAGTGGCTCCTTTGTATATGTGCCAAGCCACAGGAGGAACAAAACAGGTACATGTTAACAAACTAACTTATCACTTAAAAAAAAAATCCACACAAAAGCAAAACAGAATCATCCAGCAATAAAAAAATTCCATAATAATATTGTATCAATGTCATAAGAAATATAATTGTAGCTACTTCTTTCCTGTAACTGCCTTTTACCCATTGCAAGTAGTCCATGTTGTCTGGGTATAACCTGACTAAAGCACAATAGTTATCTACTGACACACAAACACCTGCAAATCTCTACCTGCAACATGAGGAGAATAGATGCACCTGGCTGCTGCTTTGCCCTGTGGCAAGGGAGCCCTGGGTGTCTGAGGAAGGCAGAGATCCAGCCACTCCTGCTTCCTGTCAGCAGATGGCACTTAAGTAATAACAAGAAATCTGACATCCCATTAGACACATCTACATTTGTAAACCCCTTTAGATCTATTATTTTAAACACATTTTTGAGAATTAATAATGCTCTATTCAAAACATTGCTGGAAAAAAAAATATAACTAATGATCACCATCATTCCAAATTTCCTTTCAGCTCCAAAACTAAAAGCAGCTCTGTGCTATCTGATCAGTAGCTGCTTCTGTTTTTAATAAAACCTTCTGTTAAAATGCAATGAAAAACGATCTGTGAAAACACAAAGGTAAATTCCAATAGCATTATGTTAACCATAATGCTGCGCTGTTTGTGAGAATCTTTGTTCTAGTGCCTTGAAATAGAATCAGTAAAGCAGTATCTGGCAATTATCTGACTCAATCATGTCAGGCTCAAACACAATTACATGACCACACAACTGTGTTTAGCAGAATAACCAAAGGCCTTCCTATCCAAGCTGTTAGAATAATTTTAAGGAGCTAAACAAATTAGTGGCAGCAGTGAAAGCAACAGTGCAACTGCAACTTATTGCTAGTTCCCAACACTATCTCTCATTACCATTAAGATGTATTTTTGCTGTTGGTGATGCAATTAAATTCTCTCTCTTTCCATTTTCAGATCTTATTGTTGTAAATCTGTGTAACTTAATTCTAAAAGTGAGTCATTTCTATGAAAGTAAACAAGTAATCTACTGACAACAAAGACATTTCTTATAGGAGTAGGGAATTTAATATTGCACCCTGAAAATATAGAAACAAGTAACAGCACACTTCACACTGAAGCTTTCAGTTCAAAAGGTAGGAAGGCTACAGTGGAGAAAGTCCAGACTTGAATTTATTTATATATTTTTAAAAATTACTGCACTCCACCCTTCTAATGATTGTTAAAAAATACAGCAAGTAAAATATGCTGCAGAAGATGGTGGGAAAGTCTTATTTTCTCCAAGACATGCCAACATGGGCATGGTTATAAGGGTTAAATAACTACCACGGTCATTACTTCTTAATGCCCCTGTAGTGTTCAAATAGCTGTGTGAAATCAGACGCCCCTCACCCCTGAGAATTGATGGTTTCACTTGCTTTCTGGAACAACTGTGATAAAACAGTAAAAAGTTTTAACCGCATCTGGGGGTCCTTGTTTGGCTGAAGACACGTCTTCAGAATGGGAATGAAGTCATCGAGAGCTTCACCTATGGCAGGACCTAGAAAACAAACAGCTAAAGGTTATTTCAGACTACTAATAAGTTCTATTTAGGTGTTTAACATGCGAGTGCATTAAAATTTGTAATACATCTGGTATTAAAATAGTATTTAGCTTTCCACTCTTGCATGGCAGCTGTTAAAGTATCTGTGTTACATCATTTTTGCCTAGTCTAAGGCTAGGCAAAAAATTTTGGTTTCATTACACTTAATGAAAAATTACACTGAATCTGGTATGACCCTGACACCCCTCTCCATACAACATTAATTATACTTTTTTTCTTCTTTCAAGTTTTTCCACGTGCAGCATTCAAGGAAAGGTGTTCATGACTCCTGGAGGCACAGGAAAGGGCATGTTTGAAAAGATCAGCTTCAAACCTCGGCTAATAGAATTAGTGCAGCACCATTCTTTCTCCACGTCTAAGTAATGCTTATTTGCATTTTACAAGAGAATCTAAAATATGATGAATTTTAGGAGCTATTTGAAATAAAAATATTTTCTAAATTAATTATTTAGTTTGTCAATATTTTCCCATCTACGATGAATTCTGTTTTCACCTCTAAAAATAAACAAACAGAACTCTATGCTTTTATCCCAACATTTTCAGAAATTATTTTCCTGAAACTGAAGGAAGTTTGTGTCTTTCTCCTTGATATTTATTAACACCTGCATGGTTTTAAAGAGGAAGAGTACACAGAAACTGTACACATGCTCTCTTCTGTATGCTTCTAGCTGTAGAATGCTCTTTCTGCTCTGTTTTTGCAATAAACTACTCTAGGAACTTCTTCAGCTTTGCATCCCTGAGATGCACATTCCATTCAACTCCAGTCACTCAGAAAATGTTCCCAGAAGGAGACACAACACTGGCATTTCTGATGACAAGAATATTCCTCACACATGGAATGGACAGATTGAAGTATTCAAGATTCCAAAACAAGTTCAATAGCATTTAATAATTTCTGGAAATTTAATGTTTAAAATAATAATGACAAACACCCAAATCTTCACTGTCTAGACTGAAGCAATAGAGGGTGTTGAACTGCAGTTTGCTAAATGTCTGTGCCAACAAATAGGTCTTTATTTTCACAGCATTTATTCAAAATACACCGCTTCATGTGAGTTCTGAGACATTCACAAATACTAAGCTGATAACAGCAAATTCAACAGATGGAAAATAAACAGAATAAACTAGATTGCTAATTTCAGTTTAAGCATACGTTCCTGGAAAACAGTAAAAACTGAGAAATGAGTAAAGCTGATTAAACTGATTAAAAACAACATTATGCGTGGGAATGAAAAGAAAGAAAAAAAAATAGCTCTAGGAGCTGCTGTGTCAGACAGAAAACACAGACAATAGCATATTACCAGTGTTGGGTGCAAGCCAAAATGTTTGCCCAGACGTTTGATGATTTATTTAGCATTAAGGAAAACAGAGACAACTGTCTAGAAGTCCCTCAGTCATGGAAATGGGAGTACAAATATATAGAAAAGTTGGCTTCTCAGATCTTGCGCTGAAGAAACTTTTTGTTCTTTCCACAGATGAAAACCAGAAAAAGTGCTTATGCTGGTTGCTGCACAAACCAACAAGTGGGTGCTTCACATGGGTTTGATGAGGATTTTTTTGTGATTCAAGGATTAAATTAATAAGATAGAGTCCTTTAAAACACACCTGTCCCCATTTAACTATCTGCAGCAGCCACAATGATACTTCATCTGTAGTTGAAATGACTGTTTGACATGCCCTGTTCAACCAACACAAAGGGAAAAAACAAATCAACAGGACTTTCCATTCTAATAATCTTCAAATGTGTGTCTAGGTGAGAAGAGCTGCCTGTCACCACATCCTTTGCTGTAGCTGCAACCCGGAGAGCTGTGTCAGGGAATGTTCACTGTGCAGGGCTGAAGGCATGTGAAATGTGCACCAAAGTGTTTCACTCATCTCTACACAGCCACGTGTTAAAGAACAGCGAGGAAGTGTTTGTCACAGAAAGTTTAGTATCCTTTGAAAGCCTAGTGAATGGATGGAAAAAATAGATACATTTTTGGGCATATAAGCTATATCAGTTTAATGCTACCTATTTCATTCACCTGGAAGTGCACTTTTCTGTAAGTGCTTTTAACAGGCTCCTTGCAGCCAAGGAGTCTTCTGGAATATGAGCTGCTTCAACATTTGTTTTGCTTTCCATCATGTTCTTGTGAAGTTTCTGAGCATTAAACTGTTCGTTACAAAACACAAGCTGGCTGCAGGCTATGGAGATTGAGACTTGATTTTTTTTTTTTTTTTTAGGACTACTAAGTAAGTGGTACCTGAATGGGTTGCGATGACCTCTAACTGTAACACTTCTGGAGAGTAGCAGCTCCACCCATCACACGACACTGAAACCCACTCTATGAGCTGAATTATGTGCTGCTTGTAGAGACAATGAAAACTATCCAGTTGCTGCACTTCTGCTAATGAAGACATTGTTTTCTCCACCTGTTAAACCAGAGACAGGATACTTTAAATGAAACAATGTTAATAAAAAAACCCCAAACTTTTTAAACTCGTAAGAACAGAAGGGACACAAGAAGATTTTCATTGCTTCTACTTAAACAATCAAGACTGATATTTAATGTCTGCCTATACTCCATCCATTAACTTTTATTTGAAGTGAAACATTTGTACTGATTTCAAAATGAAATCATGAGGAACACAGCAACCTAACAGCAAAATGAAAGACTTTCTAATCCGTGTGCAGACCTATCCAAAAACTAATCACATCATAAAAAAGGCTCTTGGTGCTTATAAAGATGCAGGGATTTTTCTCCTTAATTTAAGAATGATTTAAAACAGGGAATTTCTCACAAGCCCATCTAGCAGGCTATGGCAGCTTCCAAAAACTATTGCTGTTGCAGGTCAGAGAAGACCTGGCATTTCCCCTCTCCCCCTTCCTCCCCCCAGTTGAATTATGCAAGACACTCTCTCTTTACAGTAGCTGGGCAGGATCATTCTGAAATTCTCATCTTCTGTTGCTTATAAGAACCAAAACTCACTGTTACATCGGAAATATCTTCCTTATATTTACAGTTAGGCTATTCCATGAGACATGCAAATAAAACATGTACAAATGAAACACGTAAAAAGAACTACTAAATGAATTCCAGACATGATCACGATGCTTGGCAAGGAAGCCTATAGATTTTCTTAATTGCTTGCAGCACATGTATTTCAAAGGAAAGGAAAATTTGCTTTTACAGTTCCTGAAGGCATCTACCAGAAGCATAAAATTTCTCCAAGCAAGAGATTAAAAGCATGCTGGAAGCAGCATCTATAGTCTCAGTGATTTCAGTAGACAGGGAAGCAATGATGAGGAGCAAGACACCGTTAGGAACCCCACTAAGGAATAACATGTGCTGCCAGCACGGCCAGTTCCAGCAGGGAAAGATGTAGTGCAGAGCTCTGAGTGACATCATTTGACTCTCATTGCTTCAGTAGAACTACAAATTGTACTCATAGTTTTAATATTTTTAAGCTGAACTCAACCACACAAGTTAGCTGGAACATGTCTAGGACCTTTAGACTCTTACAGACTAATCACTTGCCAGACAAAGATGTTTTTATGGAAGTACCAGATGTGGAGAAAATAAATGAGAATTCTAGGAAAAAAAGTATATAAATCAGGATTTGCTAAGGACAAAGGTTACTCTTAAGGCAGGTTTGCCTGCCTCAAGCACAATAGATTTCTCCTTTCTGGAAGCATTCTGCCAGCCAGCCAAAACAACTCAGATAAATGAATATTTTACATATAAGTTATTTGTAAATTAATTGGTACATTTTACAGAATGTGTCAAGACAGAAACTGTTCCCCATTATTAATCCCACCCTAATGCACAAAGATTTTTTCCAGTGAACAAGAGATACAAAATAATACATTGTTCACTTATGATCTAAAATAAACTTGCAGTGGTTTCAATTAAAAAGAGAGAATAAATCAAATATGCTTGTAGACTGATGCATATCTTCTCATTAAGAAGGATGTTACAGTAAAATAAAATAAATAGCAAACGTGAGTTTCCTTCCCTTATTTGAAAGTTTAATGACACATTATTTTCATACTACTATTTAAAGTGTGCCAAAAGAAGAGCCAAGATAACACTGGTGATGAAACAAAACCTTATCTTTAGGTCAGCAGTTAAACCACTGACAAGCTCAAATCATGTTTAACAGACTCACAACTGAAATGGGTCTCTTTGGGGCTGTAAAACCACCTTCCTGCTCGTGCCACTGCTGTGCTCAGTTGGTGGTCTTGGCCCGTTTCCTCAGCCCCAAGCAACCAGAAACGTGATGGACACAAAGCAAAGTGGCCAAAAATCAGGTAAGACGTGAGTGTTCACCATCAGGTCACATCAGCTGTGATCTCCACTATCTCAGTCATCTCCTGTCCCCTTGCAGTAAAGCCTGAATTGAAGTTCTATGATGCTAATTTTTGGATAATTTATGTTTATACTCAAAATCTTTTGATCCTGAATATAGATTTCTTTTCCGAACAACAAATTCATACTTGTACAGCAGCTGTAATGCTTTTGTTCTGGATGTTCTTAAGCTATTTTAACAGGGACTTCTTGCCTCCTGCAAGATGTAAAGCTCACTTTGAAGTTTCAGAACAGTCAGTAACTGGAGGAAAAAAAATAAAATTCAAGCCATATTTGTCTTTGTGGCACTTTTGAAATATTGCAATTATGTAATCTCACTGCCAGATTTTCTATGTGTCTTGCTGGAAGAAAGGCTAATGAGAAAAAAGATTCTTATCCAAAGTCTTGTCAACTTAAAAAATCATCTGCAACTGCAGGAACATCTTAAATCTTCAATAATCTTGGGAGATTAACTTTTCCATATATGAAAATTAGGATTTATTGCTATGAAACTGCATTCTCTGTAGGAGTATGCAGTATAAGGTTTTTAATGGACCTTGCTGACTTTATAGTCCACTGCAGGGATAAACAGACAAGATACCACAAAACATTCCAGATCCATCTGTCCCAGCCTTACTTGGACAGATTTTTTTGTCTCAAAAAAGCCCCAAGCAAACAAACAAAATCTCCAACCCCTTCAAAATCCCACTCTTGCACTGGCTCTCCATTAGACAGATCGTCACCCCAACCCTCTTTGACCTGTGAAGTCTTTTCAATACTTGTTTCAAGCTTTGTTCTACTTTATTTCATCCAGAATAGCTTATGCCTCCTTGGAGGCAGCCTGTCAGCTCTGGGGCCATAAATACTGATTCTACACAGGCCGTTGGAATACCATGCCTGGGAGCAAGAGAAAAGGAAGTAGAATAGTCACTGCATTTAAGGCGTGTGTTTGAAAAAAGACAACTGGGATAGGTCATAATTGTCCTGCACAAGGATGGCTCGCTGATTTATATGATATTTAGCTCGGGGAAGAAAGAGGAAGAGAGAAATAAGGGGGTGAGATAATGTTAAGCCAAGAAAGCTCATCTATTATCTGGGCATGTACAGCTGTCCTTGATTTTAAAGCATTCCTGCGACATTTAAACTTTTGTTTCTGGTGGGAAGGTAAAAAGGTCAACTACTGTAAAGTCAGCCTGATCTCTGGCTAAAGATTAAAAAATTACTACAAACCCATCACTTTTTTAATGCTAGTAGTGCTCTGGATCTCTAGGTGAATGGTTCCTTAAAAGACAGAAAGCAAAAGCGAGTTTTTGCCTGTGTATAACCAAATATTCACTGGCCAATGACTTATATTCCAAATCGTAAACCCAATCCCAATCTTAATTCTGTTATTAACCATATACAGTCTGTACAGTGAGAAAAGCACAATCTGGGACCATCCACAAAGTGTCTCAATAGTAAAAGTCATAAACACAACAGAATATTAAACCAGCTCATAGTTTACCTTTTCTTTGAGGTCCTGAGAGGATGGTATTGCCATTATGGTCACCAAAACTTTCATTAGCTGCAAGCTAATTTCTTTGCAGTCTTCCTGGCACACTTCAATCAGTGCTTGCACGCAACAAAGCAACTGCTCCACGTAAAAGGCCTGATTTTTAAGAAAAGCATACAGTGATTATGTTTTGTTTGAAAATATAACATTCTTTTTAAGAGATGGGAAATGACAGTAATAAAATCTGAGCACTGTATAATCCCTACATTGGTAACATATTGATAATTTCTTGTTAGCTTTTCTGACTATGAGCATTCTGCTTTTTATAGAATACAATATAATCTTCCTCCCACACTGTCTGTTTGTATTTACCTTGTCCTGTTAGTAAAATAAATGACCCTGCTCTTAATCACACAATGGTTCCACTGGTGAATGGTGAATAAAAACATCAAAGCATTTTGAAGTGCTTGCTGATAGTACTTTCTCTTTCTGAAGTGCAATTTGTTAATTAATAACGTATTTGTTACAACTCTTTGAAATATTATTCCATGTTTGACTATTTTGGATGAACAGTGACAGTTAAATACATAAACCAAGAAAACCTGAGCGTTTGCTTTTATCTCAGCCAATTTATCTCATTTGATTCAACATAATTCACGTTATCTTGATCCAACTGATACCAGTTGAAGTCAATACTGTTGTCAGTTAGTTTGCCATGACTCCTATGATGAAGTGCATCAGACATTCATGGAGCTGTCAGTGAATAGAAGGGGCTATTGTTACAGATTTACTTCCAAAAAATAAATCAAGTCTAGGAATAGGTTAGCTATAAATGTTATTAATCTCATGGACATGGTCAATCCTTAGCTAAACAGTGTCTGTGAGGCATTCACTGGCTAAAATAGAGAAAGATTGTTTTCCAAGACTAAAGGCTAGAACAATTCCCCCAAACCTTCAGCTGCAGATGGATCTGACTCCTGCAGCTAATGCCAAATGGAAGTGGTAAGCTTAAACCTCATAGCAATTTTGCAGATATACTTCAGGGAGCTGTTTTTTGAACAATCAGGTTACAGTGCTTCCACTTATATGAGTTCCTAATCATCACAGGCTTCATGGAGATTAAGGTTAATTCCTGCATCGCTGGTACATATTCCATTAGGGAAGAAACCTAATGAGGGAAGAACTTCAAACATATATCTTACATTGGCTCAAAAAGACAATTAGGCCAGATTCAGTCTGCACACATGAATAACTGTTTTAAGGGGAAGCCTGCATCTGACATGAAATCAGAGTTTCTGAAGGCACAGCACTGGCCCTTTTTTGGTCATCTTAACAGCAGAAGTCTAACAAACTTCTGGTGGAATGAAAGCCAGGATTTCATTTGTGGGGAAAATTATAGGGATTCCTCTTGTGCATCTCTAAGAGATCTATTTCTACATTTAAATAAGTGAAGGGAAAAAAAGTCTTGCAGGTTCAAAAATCTCCATTCCACGCTGAAGAGAATCTCTCACCTCCTTATACAGCAATTGATGAATATTCTTCATACGCTAAAATAAAAATGATCTTCAGGCTCAGCCATTAATTAAGGATACACTTAGAAGTAAATTTCTAATTAATCAAGATCTTCCTTCTAGATTCAAGAGAAGGAACCAGGCCCTAAAGTTTACACAGTGTGCTCCTAAATGTACTCATAATGTACTGGTACCTTCCTTTTTTAAATGGGAATTAAGAATACAAAACAAAAATAAGATGACATTAAGAGGGAATCTTTCTTGAGAAACCTGACATGCCAATTACAATGGACTGTGAAAAATCTTCAGTCATTTTTACTGATGAGGATTGAAATATATGATCTTGTTCGGATCGTGAATACAAGGAATTTCAAAACATGGGTTAAACTCTGCCTCAGGATCAGCCAAGGTAGCCCTCTGTTAGTACAGTACTTATTAAACAGCTGCTTCTCTCCCTGCCATGCCTCTTCATTTTCCTACCACTATATGAAGCCTTTCACAGCAGTTCTCAAGCTTGAGCCCACATCTGCTGAGAGGATGGACTGTTAGGAAGCTCTTGGAAACAGCAGCTTTGCCCAGGAAACCACAACATGGCCCAGGGAGGACAGGGAAGCTCCTGTTTTGTCTCAGACACACATCCACAACTATATCCTGAGATAGGGTGGGGTAGGTGTGCAAGGGACAGATAAGAGTGGGAGCATTTAGGGAGAACAAGAGGAAAAATAAGTTGGTCAAAACCTGTGGCCTGCTGTGTGTTTTCCAGCTTTCCTCACCTCTTCAGATCGCTGACAAACTCCAGGTTGCGACAATGTGTTGCCAAGCTGGGCCACGTGAGGCTGCAAGATTTCTTTTGGGCTCCCTCGAATCACTGCAGCCAGAACCATCACACAGGAGGGTTTGGGTGTCTGCTCAAAGGCCGAGGTGATTAACCTCAAAGACACCTTAGGGCTGACAAACGTTCCAATCAGTTCTGCTGCTTTCACACTCTGAAAAAGGAACAGGAAAACTTGAGGATTTTCCTGAAAACACAAAGACTATGCGACATATCGTGGGCTTTTTCTTTTTATGATTCCAGCTGTTACTTTAAATGCTCCTGCAGTTGCCTTGTAGGCCTTTTCCACTCGCTCAGTAATGATTATACGCATGAAGAAATTTTCTTGACGTGTTCAGTAAGCACATAATAAGGCATGCAAGCACCCTTCTCATCAGACAAACTTGCATGAGAAAGCAGTGCACAGAAATGAAATGTACAACTTTCAGTGGAATAAAGTTTCTGGTTTAGTGTTGCAGAGTTAATGGTTTAGCGTTTTGTCCTCCAAAAGCTGTTCCAAGGCTTACTCTTAGTGGACCCACCCCCCATCTATTAAAAGCTGTAACTATAAAAACCTGAAAGAGGAATTTTTTGTTATTGTACTATACCTTGAAGCTGATATTACAGATCTGGTTTGGTGTGGAAGCAGTGCCATGGGGGAACTGCCTACTGCTTTCAATTCTTACTTCTTCAACTGAAAAGGCCTAAATTATTATTTATTCCCCATAGTACTGGCACCCTTTGATGCCATCCCTGCCTTGCAGACATATCAGAATGTTATATTCCACGTGAAATGCCACATCAGAACTTACTGCCTGACACCCAATGTTTACAATCACGTGCACAACAAACAAAATACAATCAACTACTGCACCACTACCTGTGCAACAGCAAAACTTCTTCCTAACCTGTGTGTTTAATGGTTGGCTCATTCCTCCAAAGCTTCTCTCTCTTTGTATATTATTTTTAGTCTGGTGATTTAGCCATGGATTTTTAATTGGACCTAATTAATACTTGAATCATGCTAAATTTTTTAGTCTCAACGGAAGAACACAGCCATGGGTTCTGTAGTTGAAATCTGCACTATTTATAGCTGTTCCCTTTCACAAAGACTCAAAAGAGTTGTAACATACTCCATGTAGATGTGAACCCTGCCCTCCTCCTCATTTGCTATACAGAAAAAGACTTTACTGCTCTGAAAACGGGACAGTACAATTAAACAGTTCAAAAATATGAGTTGATACATTTGCAGGGATCAATTTATTCATTTCAACAGGGGAAAAAGGAAAAAAAAAAGAAACAAAGGATAAAAGACCATCTGGTCTTTTGTACATCTCATTTGGTATTACTAGGCTGGAAAAAGAGATGGATATTTTCCAAGTTGGTGGCTGAAATGGGTTCTACAGTAACAAACTATAGAGGATGTTATCACAGTACCCTGGGAAGCAGCACCACTAAGAGATAAAAGGCATTCACAGACACAAGTTGCTGAACCCTATGTTTAGGCACAAAGAAAAGTACAATTAAATACTGAAATCATCTCCTAATTGGGAATAAATCTCTTGGAAGCACCTGCAAGAAGATCAGTGGTGGAATTCCAAGAAAGAGACAAGTATGGTCAATAAAAGGCAAGGGAAAACTATGTGCTGCTTGAACACGTACTTTTGAATTTAGAACTACCGCAATAAGCAGACAACAGGAAATTTGGTCAGGACAGCAGGGTCACTTGGATTTCTTCTCCTAATTATTTAAGTTTTCTTGTAGCCCAACTCACAGCAAGAACCTAAAGAAAAGCCTGATTTAAAGGTTGGCCATTTGGTTGGACTACCTGCATCCAGTAAGGAGAACACATTCTTCCAATATCCCAAAGCAATAAAATTTGTAGCTTTAAAGTAAGTTACATGGATTTTTATTTTTTTGTTGTGTGGAAATAGGAACAGAAGATTTTATCCTAAAATTGTAAAAACATTTGTACCACCTGTCTTTCTGTTGCTAAATTTATCTAATGTCTTCAACTACATCTGTTTTACCGATTTGATGATCAAAGTGTTGAAAGCATTAACTGTTAGAAAAAATGAAACTAATTGTTCCTCACAAATCACCAGCATTTTCCAAGCATTAAGTCAAGGATTCAAAAACTGAATATGGGTATCACATGGAATAAACATACCTCAATATACAGTTGGATTATGGAGCAGGGGGAGATAAGTGAAATTAACTTGAAAGGGCATGACCTGCACATTTCTTTTACATTGAATTTATTACCTCAAGGCTTTTATACTTTAATCCACTGCTTATGATTTTTAGAGAGGTCATTATGAATGCTTCATGGAGTTGGCATATGAACTAAAGTTTGAATACCTTCACTATTGGTCTTCTACATTTATTTTAACACACTAGGTAAGTACAACGTTCATGTGTTTTTAACACCCATAAAAACCTGAGCCTGATCCTTCAGCAATTCCCAGTGACCTATGGCAAGGTCAGACTCAGGGCTATAAAGGACAGAGTCTTTATTCAGTGTACAACAGCTTCTGTGAGAGACTAAACTTACATTTTTAACCACTTCACTCTCTTCATCCAAGCACGACTGGTACAGAGTTCTAAGCAGCAGCTCCATGTGCTGTGTGATGTGATCCTCTGCATGCAGCAGTAATGTGTACAGGAGCTGGGATGCTTTTACTCTTGTGCTCACAACCCAGTCTGTCATATCATGACAGAGACCTGGAAGGATTTTGGAGAGGTTTCTTGACACAAGTTCCCGACAACCTAGTCCTGGTCGAGTTACTACAAGAAAGAAAGAAAGAAAAACAAAGCAAAAGGAAATATCAAAGGGAAAGCCAATGCAAATTAATCCTTAGGAAAGTTTAGAAGTTCCAAGGTAAGAGCTCTGGGTATCTGCTTCAGCACAGAACAAAATATTCCAAATGCTTCTAAGGAATTTACCTGTGCAAGTTGCATTTCTTTAATATATACTGCAGAATTTAAACTCCACACAGCTCTTTGAAAAGTTATGTATTTATTACTGGATGGTGATTTAGATTTCATGTTTTAAAATCTTTCCAGAAGAGAAAGAGAAGTTAATGTGTGACATTATCCACTTTGGAAAACACAGCTTAACAATTTCAATTTTTATAGCAACACAAATGTCTTTATAAAAAACAAACTGAAACACACAGAGGTGAACAAAAGAAAGACTTTTGCATGCAAATGTGGTATCACTGAGTTAAATATAATTTGGAGTGGGAAAGAAAGGTAAAAGTCACAAATAGAGGACATGAACTGCAATGAAACAGACAATGTCAATTGTGCCCTCTAAAGGAAAAGGTTAAAAGTGTATCTGGCAAATTGAAAGCAGAAAGGGCACCAACTATGGCTTGTACAGGTTCTGTGTAATAGATCAGGCCAACAAATTCATAGTATTTTAAAAATCACAGCTATTATATGATCCCTTTTCTAAGGCCTTTTCAGGAAAAGCAGCTCATTGATGTGCCTCTTCAATCTCTCAAAAATTAAATAACACATTTAAATTGGTAAGAAAGATTATACAGGAGCTGGGGGTGGGGGAAGGAAAACTGACTAAAGTAAATGCTCTGAAGACTACAAAAGGTTTATAAATGCTTATGAACAGGGAAAAAAGTAAAATTCAAGCATCAGGATGTGAATTGCTGCTTCTTTTGTCAATGGAGGATAACAATTTGGATTATGAAAACTGACAACGAATAGCAAAAGGTCAAATAAAGAAATCAACCTGAGACAGCAAATACAGACTGTGCATCCTATTCGACCCCAGGCAGAATTTTGTTTGAAGAATTCGGACCATTCTTTATCAGCAATTCCTTCATTTCAGATGTTCAAATGCAGGTATTTATCCCTGTAGCTACTCCTGTCAAAGACTTCCCTGCTATAAACTGTCGGCACCTGTATCCTAAGGCAATGACTGCTGTGGCTCAGTGGGGGGGTTCAGTTGTGGGGGGATGACACCAGGTATGGGGTCTAACTCTGGTCTTCCTCTGACCTGCAGGATCTGTCACTGTGAGATCAAAGCAGGGGGGCTCCTGTGTCAGGTCCATTAGTCTGACAGTTGGACAGTTCAGTAAAATGTACCTTTAACTCACAGTTGCAAAAAATATTCCAGTACATTCAATAAGTCGGAAGAAAGCGCAACAAAGTATTAAAATACATATTATCATGTTAAAAAAAAAAAATCCAACACTAACCTCCCTTCCAAAATCAAAACCAACCAACAAAAAAACCCCAACCAAACTCAAATGTTTGTGGAGAGCAAACAGAGGAAGGAGACATATCATAAAAATCCTCCATATACAGTCTGTGGTAGGACACCACAAATTATTAGTTGAAACTAAGGTATGTTAGTGGTTCTGATAAAGTTTTGTGTCTGTAAGATTAAGCAGCCAATCATTCTTTCCCCTGATTTTTCTTCTCTCTTGTCACATAAAGCCTGTTCATAAGACATTCAATTTGGAACTAAAGATAATCAGGAAGAAATGATATCTTAAAGTCACCATTATCTTGGGACTCAAGTCCAAAATTACTGGGTTATTTCTTCAAAATATTCTTTAGTTACATGTGTACATATATACACATACACATGTCACATTCAAGCCTTAAATGCATCATTCTACCAAGAAAATTCAATTAAATGTGGGGCTGGAATGTTGCCCAGATTCATGAAGCATATTTATTGTGCTAACAAGATTATTTTGGAAAGCATATATCATTTTATTATGGAGTAATTGAGAGATGCCACTCCAAAAAGCCCCAACAAAACAGCATACACACACACAAAGCCCAACACACACCTAGAGAAAACTGACCAAGACATAACACTGTCAGCTGCACAAATGGCAATCCCTGTTTCAAGGACAAGGATACTAAGGCTTTTATGACCTTCGCTATATCATGGTCATTGCCAAACAAGTGACTGGAGCTCAGACACTCAACTTCATCACTTTACGTATGTTAAAAGATTCTCTGACTGCCAGAAAAAGAAGTATGTTTCTGCCATCACCAGTGGAAGTAAAAGCATTCTTCAGAATTTACAAACCCCTGAGGTAAAATTATATATAAAATAAGGAGGAAAGAGAAAAAGTTAGAAAGGATGACAGATCAACTTGCCTGTCTTCAAAGCTAAACAGTTCTGTCAAACCAGTCACCATTATGAAGCGCTTCCCCTTTCATTCAAGCATTACTGACTAAAACAACTTTGAAGAAAAAAAAAAAAAGTGTAATTTCAAAGAAGAAAGAACTCCGGAACCCACTGTCATGGAAAGGATTTTGCTGCCGGGTATTCTGTGATGTGATTGTCACGTAGGCACAAGTCAAGCATGAACCTGTTCTTTCACACCAGAAGAGTTTTTGTTCTGTTAAGTATGAGTGCAGAAATCAATAAATGAGCCAGTTAAACCCTCTCTCTCACCAACTCCCATGTGCATATTTTTAAACATTAACTTCATGAACCCCAGACAGGAAACAAGCTTCAAGCTACTGCAAACACAATGTTTTAAAGCCACCTATAAATCATACAGTACTAAAAAGTAATCTACCCATTCTGCATATCTTGATGGTTTTTTGTGTATAATAAAGGAAATTACTCTGTTCCCACATTCTTCATGTACGCTGGCAGACTGGTAGCATCCCAGTATCTCACAGAGAAGTCTGAAATAATTTCACTGAAAATTTTTCTTCCACATCAATTATGTGGATCATTAATGCTGTGATCAGTTCTCATTATTCAAGGACTTCCTTTCCAGTCATCTCTGTGCCCACTGCATACGTGGCTGCTGGCTGATGTAGAACTTTCTGCTGTTTCTGCACCACTGCTCTACCTGTTTTTCATCATAGGCATTTTCCCTTTCTCTTTCTCCAAAATGCATTTCTTGGTTAATGGAAAAAAAAATGTAGTTATTTAATGAACATTTTAGAAATTTAAACTAAATATAAATAATTTAAATAATTGTATACACATAAATACTATATATTTTTAATAGGTGCCACCCCATACATTTTGTGTATGAATATTACACATCCTGCTCATCTGTTATCACTGCACTGCAGCTCTTGGAGATAATCCAGGAGGCAGAAACCATTTTCACTGCAACACTTACCTCCTTTGGGATAATGAGATGGTGAAAGACTAAAATCCATCTTATCCTTCAAATCTTCTTCATTCTCCTTCTCCCACTGCAAGCCTACCTTTTCCCAGTAAGTCCAAGCCAGTTTCCTAGATAAAAAATAAGAGTTTTATACCATCATGCCCCACCCAATAAAAACATTTTAAAATTAGACTTCTAGAAAAGCTGACTACTTAAATTCCTCTGGAAGGATGGGAAGCATTCCTGCCATTTAACTGAGTCACATTAAGAAGAGAGTTTATACTTCTTTAGTACTCAGTGGACAGAGATTTTCTCTCCCAAGGGATAAATCTGTCTCTGTCTCTCTCACACTCACTTGGATACAGCAAAAAAGGACAATATAACAAAAGTTATTGAAGATAATGCTAACATTTTGGGTTTAAGAGAAACAAACAAACAAACAAAAGTGGGGGTTTTGTCTTCCCAGCAAGACATCTGCGAACACAGGAACACTTCTGTGTGTGACATCTATTTGAGGGGGGGGAAAAAAAAAGAAGAAAGTAAGAAGAAAGTTGCACTTACTCATTTTCAGGAATTTCATCACTAAAGCTGCCAAGTAACAAAGGGATAAGCTTGTGAAAATATGAATATCTATCTCGTAGGTGCAACAACCATTCTCCAATGACAGTTGTTACAGCGTGCCGTACCTACAGGGACACAAAAAGACTATTTCATATTTGTCAGGAAAAAAAACAGAAGAAAATTAAAATAGTATTTGCTTTCTATATGGTAAAGCACATCAACACTCTCAGAAGAAATTAGAAGAACACAAGATTTCCTCACTTGCAGGAAGCATCTTAAGTAACACCCAAGGTGTCACACTCCCTTGCTTTCTCACACTGCCTCAATCACTCTGAGACTGCTGCACAAAAGCACAACTCTGACAGGAAGACAAGATACAGACCTAATTCAGAAAACTAAACTCGTGGTTAATATCCTCCTGAGAATGTAAGACATGTACATTTCTCTGGGATTTGTACCTTTCCAAGCATATCCTGAGAAGACTTCCTCTGTTCACTGCAAAGGAATGATTAATTTTAAAATTACTGCCTCAGCTGCATCTTATGAAGGCACCATACTGTGTTTGTTAAGTATCTGAAAAGGCCACAGAATCAAGGCCCAGAGAGATGTGACAGAGAATTTAAGACAGAATTTAAGGCACCCATCAAAACAAAAAGGTGCCTACAATCTTCAACACCCTGCAGAATTAGGCAGCAGCTGAACAGGCAGACGAACAGGTCACCAGCCTTGGGTTTGGACAGTTTACAGCTGATGAAACTTGTATGGGAAATTGTCCTGGTTTCAGCTGGGACAAAGTTCATCTTCTTCTTAGTAGCTGGTACAGTGCTGTTTTTTTGGAATAGTATGAGAATGATGCTGATAACACACTGATGTTTAGCTGTTGCTAAGCAGAGTTTAATCTAAATCAAGGACTTTTTGGTGTCTCAAGCTCTGCACAAACAGCTGGAGGGAGCAATGTCAGGACAGGTGACTTGAACTGGGAGTGAGTGAGGGGCTGTGTGATATTTATTTTCTGGCTGGGATTTAACCACAACAGACATATTTACTTAACTGAATGAGTGAAAGTGGAGAACTGGGGGAGGAGGGAGGGAAGCACAAAAAAAAACACTCACCCTGAAACAGATTTAAAATAAATCCAGATTAAAGAAAGAAGAGAAGCACACCTTGGGAATCTCATCAAACAATCTCTGGGCCAGATGAGACAGAACATCATCCACAGACTTTCCATTCCCGAACTGTATCACTGCTCCAGTAGCCTGAATCACATCAACACGAACTCTGTAGTGCTGGTGTGAAATCGTCTGCATTAAAGGTTTTATCAGAGATTCTGACTGCATGTGGAAGTGCTCTGTTAGGACAGAAACACAGAAACGTCAACCGTGTGAGCTGTCACAGTGAGTGGCCTCCCTGTCGGTGGCAGGGGAGTGGAATTGGATGATCTTTAAGGTCCCTTCCTTAAATCACCATTCTGTGATTCTAAGTAGCAGGGACACATCCATGCTACCCACTCACTGCCAGCACCAGCAGGACATGATGACATTTTGGGTGGACTAATGCATTTGGGTGGTGGATTAACGTTGTCCTGTGATTCTGTGTCTTTATGCGGGTGACAGTCCTGGAGTAACATAATTTCTGTAACACTACGAAAAGCAGTCTGACTAATGTTGCTGCATTTGAGTAGCAGGCGGATTTAACTCTACACTGTATCAGAGCTGGACTAACTCCTCCTCCCGCTGTCACCCAACGTGTAACAGCTCAGCCTCCACTCCTAGCGCGGCTCTTCTCCAGCAGACCCTCCAAATCGCCACAAAGCACACCAGTGAAGGGTGTGTGCGACTTCTCATCGCTCTCCCTCTCTCCCTGTCCCCTCCTCGTCCCCATCCCCCGGGATTCTCAGGCTCGCACCATCCCACCGCTCCCCCCGTGCCCGTCCCTGAGCCCCACCTGGCATGGCCTGGGCACAGGCCACCGCACACCTGCAGCTCTCCCGCCTGACCTCGGCATAGTGGTCGAGGAGGGTGGCCTGGAGGACGCGGACGATGTCCCCGAGGTAGGGGGCCGCGGCGGGGCCGCAGCGCCGAAGGAGGAGGTGCAGAAGCTGGACGAGGCCGAGCCGCAGCTCCTCGCTGGGCTCGGCGGACGGCGGCGGGCACAGCCGCTGCGCCAGCGCCGGCAGCAGCACGGGCAGCGCCTCGCAGGGCCGCTCGCCGCGGCTGAGCCCGTCCTGGAGCAGCTGCAGGGCGAGCTCCCGGCACCGCTCGGCCGCGTCCCCCGCCAGGCACCGGGACAGCGGCCGCAGCAGCCGCGCCGCGAACACCTCCTGCAGCACCGCGCCGGGCACCGCCCGGCCCCGCAGCTCGGCGCCGATGGCCTCCAGCGCCCGCAGCCGCGCCGCCCGCCCGCAGTCGGGCTGCTGCAGGAGACTGAGGGACCGCGACAGGGCCTGGCACAGCTCGGCCCCCTCGGCCCCCTCGGCCGCCACGGCCACCGCCATGTTCCGGCTCCGCGGGGGGGCGGCCGCGTCGCCAGGGACGCGCGGGGCGTTTGCGACTGCGGGAGCGCGCTTTACGGCAGCGCGGGCACTGCGGGGGGGGTACTGGGACAGGCAGAGAGTGAGGGGACAGGGACAGAGACACAAAGAGAGGGGACAGGGACAGAGCGGGGAGACAGGGACAGAGACACAAAGAGAGGGGACAGGGACAGAGCGGGGGGACAGGGACAGAGACACAAAGAGAGGGGACAGGGACAGAGCGGGGGGACAGGGACAGAGACACAAAGAGAGGGGACAGGGACAGAGCGGGGAGACAGGGACAGAGAGGAAGGACAAAGAAGGGGGGCAGGGATAGCGCGGGGGGACAGGGGCAGCAGGGGGGCAGCCCCTCCGCCGCTCTGCCCCTCGCTCAGGACACGTCCCAAACACCGGGGAGGCGGCGGTGGGATCGGTGGGTTCGGTGGGTTCAGCAGATTCTGCAGGTTCAGCCGGTACCGGCAAGGGCAGGAGGCCGCTGTTGGATCACGCGGGTAAAAAGGGATGCAAACCTGGGAATGCCCTGCGGGCTGAGGGGAACGGGAAAGCACCGGGGCCACTTTCACATGTATGGCTTCTCCCTCCTGTTTTCTCTCCGGAGGGATCAGTGGGCAGGAAGTCACCTGACTGCTGTAGCAGCCTTGTATACTTTGTAGTGTTTATTTTTATAAGTTAAGGTGTATATATGTTGTGTTCATATTGTACTAACGTGATTTATACAACCTAATGTTTTGTGTTTTATTCTGGTGAATGCAATGAACACGCATCAAACTAAAGGGTCCTTTTCTTGAGTGATCATACTGAATTTAAAATACAACAAACTACAGAACTAATTAAAATTACTCTTCTATAAAAGCCCTGTGTTTGCTGGCAGAGTTTATTCTCTTGTTATGCTGCTCCTAGCTGGAGTTTGAGCCTTCAGAGTCCTTTTTCACCCTTTATTCTGTGGGAACCACGAGTGTGAATTCCCTGGGAACACAGGAAATAGTAGCATGCATTGGAGTATTCCTGAGTGCACGTTCTGGTTCATGGCCACGTCCCAGCTGGGACCACGCTCCTCGTGGCCTTGCATGGAGGTGCTGCTGGGTGTGATGGCTTTGCTCTAAATACCCAAGGATGGACCTGGTGAGCCGATCTTCCCAGTGCTTCCCGAGCTGTGGGTGCAGGAGGGCTGGTGGCTCACGCCATGCTCCTGCCTCCACTCTGTAGCCTGTCCTTCGTGGCCAGGCTGCCCTTCATGGTCAGCCCATCCTCCTCCACGGTCAGGCCACCTTTCTTGGCCAGGCTGTCCCCTACAGCCAGGCCACCCTTCCCGGCCAGCCCACGTTTCATGACCAGACTGTTGTCCTTCATGGCCAAGTTGTCCTGCACAGCAGGACACCTTTCACATCCAGGCTGTCCTTTGTGACCAAGCTCGTCCTTCCTGGCCAGGCCATATTTCATGGCCAGAGCATCGTTCTTCATGGCCAAGCTGTCCTCCATGGAAAGGCCACCTTTCACATACAGGCTGTCCTTGGTGTCCGGGCCCATCCTTCTTGGCCAGACCATCGTCCATCGTGGTCAGCCCGTACTTCATGACCGGGGAGGCCTTCCTGGCCACTGTGGCCTCAGGCTGGAGGTGCGGGGCAGCCAGGCCGGGCTCTGCCGTGCCCACTGTGTGTCCGTGCGGAGCGGAGCAGGTCGGTGCGGTGCAGAGCGGGTCGGAGCGGGTCGGTGCGGTGCAGAGCGGGTCGGTGCGGGTCGGAGCGGTGCAGAGCGGGTCGGTGCGGTGCAGAGCGGGTCGGTGCGGGTCGGTGCGGTGCAGAGCGGGTCGGTGCGGTCCGTGCCGCCTCTCGGCGGAGGCGAGGCCGCGCCCGCCCGTGAGTGACGGCGGCGGCGGCACTTCCTGCGGGCGAGCGGCAGCGGCGGGGCCGGAGCCTTTGTGCGGGAGCGGGAGGAGAGTCCCCGTGGCGCCCCGCGGCCCCGGGCGGGCGGGCAGGAGCGGGGGAGGCGGCGGCTGCAGTGCGGATACCGGCGGGGGAGCCCCTTCCTCCGCCTCCAGCGCCGGGAAGGACAGAGGAGGCGCCGTCGCTCCGCCGGCTCCGGACACCAGGTATTTACCGGCCCCTGCGCTCCCGGGGCCCGGCGACGGGGCAGAGGCAGGGGCTGCCGGTCCGCCCCGCCGGGCCCGGGGGATGCGCTGCCGCGGGGACCGCCCGGCCGGGATCGGGGCGCCTCCCGGGGCCTGCCCCGCACAGCCCCGCACAGCCCCGGCCGCCCCTCGGGACCCACCGGCCCGGGCAGGGGCGGCTGGGACCGGGGTAAAGCTGCCCCCGCGGTTTTGGGCTCGGAACAGAGCGGTCATATCCGCGCTGGTGGGAATAAAGAGGGTTTGGGGGTTGTTCTCCCCCCAGTCACCAAACTTCCCTTTGAGGGGGGCTCACTTTCCTTTGTGGGGCTCAATTCCCTTTTTGGGGGGCTGTGCCCGCTCCTGCCCAGCTCCCCCGGAGCCGGGAAGGGTCGCTCGCTGGGAAAGGGGGAGATGCTGAAATTGACCGAAAATCGGAAAGCTGTATTGGAAAGCTGGGCTTCTGCTGACAGGGAGGGAGTTCCCATGGGGATAGAAAAATAAGGCTTTACGCCATCGTTTAATAGCTGTCTTTGAAACTGCTAGCCTTGTAGAGTTAATTGCACTGGATTTTTTTCCCCCGAAGATTGATCGCTGTCTAGGAGTTAAAATCCTCTTTTTATACTTACTGGGATGTTGATCTTACAAAGATGACACAGTTTGGCATTTCCACATATAACCCTAGAACATTAAAACATTCAGTTTCAATAGCTCTTGAATAGGCAACAGGCAATGGTAAAAATGTCTTTGCTCCTTCAGATCTCTCTGACAAAGGGTTTTGGAACTGTCTCTTATCTCTTTCTTGCACCATTTTCTTACCTAGGTCTGTTTTCTGTTTACAAGCCTGAAGATGGCTGCTGCTGCTTCCTGCAATGTGGAAGAAGATGAGAGCCTGAAGGGATGTGAACTCTATGTTCAGAAGCACAACATCCAACAGATTTTAAAAGAGTGCATTGTAAACCTCTGCATAGCAAAGCCAGACCGACCCATGAAGTTCCTTAGAGAACACTTTGAAAAATTAGAAAAGGTCAGTGATTTTCAGGTGGTTTTCCATTTTTAAACTGAAAAAGATTGTTTAAAGAGTTTCAAATGTTTTGGGACATTTTTTCTTTCAAATTTTAAATTATCACAGAACTGTGAAAAAGTAGACTGTTAGAAGAAAAAAACCCCAACCCTTCATTTGCTGATGTCTACTGTATTATTGGCTGTTGTTTAGAATTTTCTGTGCAAGATTATAATTCCTCATCAAACTGCACTTGTTAAAAATGACCCAAATTGTTATGATCATACTTTGTGTTGTGATATGTGGTATCCCAAACTTTCATCTATGGGAAGAACCTTCCTATGAGTGCAAAACATTGTCCCCTGTTTATTCCAGTGTCAGGTGATGCGGTTTTCCCTTCCTCTGAAACTGAGCAAAATCAGGGAACCAGCAAGTTTTGAAAATCATTGAACAATTTACTATTTAATTTCCCTGCTCTTTCCCATCTGCAGTACTTGTCCCAGGATTCTCTGACAAGGGATGCTTTCAGAGAGACCTCACTTGCTGTGACTGTCTTCTTAAGCACTGTAAAGGAGGAAACATTTTAGAACATTCCCAGACAAATTCTGACTAAAGCCCATGGGTGTCTTTGCAGGAAGAGCACGTTCTGCGAGCACAGCTTTTCCCTGGGGATGAGATTCATCCAGAAATAAATGGGAGCACAGGGCAAGTTGTTGGCTACACAAATCCGCAGCCTGCCAGAGAATTTATTCATATATTTAATTTAAGAGGAGGATTATTTGCCTTTTTTTGAAGGAAACATCCAAAGTTTTTAGGCTTAAGAGATAAGTTTTATGTAGTGTCTTCCTTCAAGAGGCAGAATTTTATAAGGACAGAGTAAGAACAATAATAAACAGTGAATAATGCATAAAGCTGATATATTACCAGTGATGTGGAGCATTTTAAACATCCCACTGTCTGCTTTTCAGACATATTTTTGTAGAGGTGAGTATATGCCAAATTTACATAGTTTTAAAAGAACCCAATCATTGCATTGTGGTGGCAACCCAGTAAGAATCCCTGGGACATGAGAGAGGAGTAGGAAGTACAAGATGGTTTTTAATTCCAATGCTTATTATTAAAAAGAGACAGTCTCTTGATTCTGCATATTGTAAAATTCTGACAGCCAAGACCCATTTTGAGAGAGTCAAAACTGTTGAATTTACTTTATTGTGTGATGAGTTATTATCCATCATAATGACTGCAATTTTTGGCTTCCTGAAAAGAAGGATAAGCACCATTTTTGAAAAAAAAAAAAAAAAAAAAGTTAAAATATGTTGTAGTATTTTGAAATAAGCTCCATAGCTGGAGGAATTGTGCTTGAGGAGTTTGGCTTCACTGATCTAAACACAGTACACAGAATTGAGGCAGGAAGGCAGTTGAGAAATTCTATATCTTTTCATTTAATCTCCTATTATTTCCCAAAGAACAGCGGATACCAGAATGCTGTAGGACATCAGTCAGGATGCAGACACAGAAGCTGATGGATGTCACTTGTCTCAGAATGGAAGGACATGATTTAGAAACAACCAGTCTCAAGGCATCAAATGCAGTGAACATCATAGTTACTGTGGGAGGGAACAATCTTGGCACTGCCTCTCTAGAGCAGCCTGGGGGCTAAGCCTGCTGAGCCTGAAGGCTTTAGGCTGCTCCTGGAGGTTTCCAGCACTGTAATTCTTGTTCCTGAAACAGTTTGACTTCCTTGTCCAACCATCTCTGAGGGCTTTCTTGGAATGAATTGAACTGCGGAGGGTTTGCTGCTGCAGAATAATATTTTGACTTGGTTGGTTGTGTAATAACAGTTGAAGGAATGCTTGTAAATATAGAGAAATTCTTTCAGTAAGT